GGGCGCCCACCACAGCTGCCACGTCTGACCCCGGGGAGCTGAGGGCCCCGGGGTGCAGCCCAGCTGCTGTGGGGCGTGGAGTACAGGGGAGGGGCTGGGCAGGGCTGCCTGTCCCCACCCCAGGGCTCCTAGGGGCCACCTGCACCTTCAGCTCCTGTCCTCACTGGCGGTCTGTGCCCTGGCCCCGTGTTCCCCCTCTTCTTCTGTGCCCTGGCTGTGGAAGCAAGTAGGGGTTCTTGCTTCTGTGGGGCTTGGGGCCTGATGGGGGACACGGTAGACATGGCCTGGCCCGGTCCCCTGAAAACCACTCTCGTGCCCCTCCCAACCTCCTTCTCCTGCCTGGGGAAGCAAGTGCTCGAGAGAGGTGGAGAGGGCAGCACTGCCCACCCAGGTCTCTGTACCCTGGGTTCAGCTGTGTCCTCTGTGATTTCCCGGCCTTCTCCCTGGCTGGCCGGGTGTGGTCACACTTCTGCCTCTGTCCAGCCCCTCCACAATCCCCCTGGTGCCATCAGGAGACCCCAGCCCTGGGACAGTGGCTGTGATTTGCGATGGGACAGGGACAGGCCAGGGAGCGGAAGTGGCTGCATTCCTCACGAGCTCCTCCCTGGCTTGGCCCTGCCAGGGAGCCTCCGCCCGCCCGCTGCCTGAGGCCACCCGAGGGTGAGCCAGACCTCAGGCAGATTCCCCACAGCTCAGTGGCTTCAGGCAAGGAAAAATGGCAACAAAAATAAACACAAGATAAAGAGGGGCTGTGGCCTGCGCTGGCTTGCTCCGCCCTGGAAGAGAGGCAGGACTGAGGAGCCAGCCCACCTCACCCACTGGGTGCTCACACTGCTCACAGGGGGGTGGCAGCAGCCATGGGAACCACCTTTGTCCACTGGAGCCTAGGTTAGACCCTGGGGCAGGCCAAGGACTGCTATTCCGGCTTCATGCCTCTGCCTTGTCCCCAAAGGGCATCACCATTCTGGCAGCCGTTGCCATGGGCCTGGCCATGAGCTACTGGGTTAAGGAGTCTGGCACTTGCACCTGCACCTGCACCTGCACCTGCACCTGCACCTGCCCAGCTGCCCCTGTGCATCCCTAAGAGTAGGGAGGAGTGAGCCCGGGCCTGGTATGCTGGGAGCTGTGGCCTCATCACTGCACTGCACAGATTGCTGTCTTCCATCCAGAGAGAGGACCACAAACGCAGCATGATGTGGGCACACCTGGTGGCAGACCCCACACACATGGCCGACCTGCACAAGGAGCCCCTGGGTGACAGGCCTGGGGGGACCCAGCCACCCAGCTGCAGTCCCTGCTCTTCCTAGTCCTGGCCTTGGTGCCCTGGCACCCCTGGCACCTCCCTCCGCGTGGCACCCAGCCGGCACAGCTCCCTTGAGGCCATGAGCACCCCCTTTTGTCCTGACAGGCGGGGCTCTCACAGGAGCCTTACAGTGAGGAAAGAGTCAGGCCTGTGGCACCTGCTTCCGTGTGCCAGGTGGGTAAGGGAGCCACCCAAGCCCGCATGCTGAGCACCTAGAGTCTGGCATCATCTTGGGGCACGCCCAGCCCTGCTGGCGGTCAGCCTTGGCCACCTCCACCAGCGGTCACCTGCCACGGGGCTGCCGAGGTCACTCAGCCCGTGTGATGTGTCCATGCTGTCCCTTCTGACAGATGAGGTGGCAGTGACTTGCTCAGCTGGCTGGGGGCCAGGCTCTGTTTTCCTGACCCAACTGAACCCTGTCCTGGACCTGCTGTCCTGGGCCCTGGATGAGGCTTGTGACCTGGGGTGGTTTCAGGGTCCTTGGCCAAGCCCCCAGAAGCGAGCAGGCCTGGGCTCAGGGGAAGCGAGCAGATGTCAGGCTGGTGAGGGCCCTGGGAAGCCGGGACAGCCCCAGCACAGGGGTCCCAGAGGCTGGCAGGGTCAGCGGTTGGCATGTCTGTGGTCCCAACCCTCCGCCAGGGCCATGGGGGCTGGGAACACCCAGGAGCCCAGCAGGGGACCAGGCCCAACCTACTGATGGCCTCCCGCCCGCCTCTGCTGGACTGGAGCCCGAGAGGGAAGAGGCAGGCTAGGAGTGGGGACACACGCAAGTGCACACTTTAGTAACAAGGACACAGGTTCTCCGCCACTCCTGAACTCCTGTTAGCCTGAGAGAGGACCCGTTCTCCCTACAGATGGGCCTGTGTCCTCTCTGCTGCCCCAGGTCCCTAACCACATTACAGCATCACAGCCACTATTTCCTATCCTTAGGGCCTCGAAGTCCCTGGAGCTGGGGCTGCTGGGAGAGGCCTTGAATGTCACCCTGGGGGTGACACATGTACCCAGGAAACGGCTCGACTCCACCCACAGCAGGGACTCCTGGCCACACTGCATTCCTGGGGTGCACGCTGGCAGCTGCGAGGTCCTGTCCCCAGGCCCTGGAGTGGGCGGGCACTGGAAGTGGGTACACGCTTGCTCTCCTTCCAAGTAGCCTGGTGGGGGCTCGTGCTCGGCCTGCCTCCCAAATTTGTGCCCCCATGCCTGGCAGACCAGTGGCCTGTGTGCCAGGGACACAGGTAGAGACACAGGCCCAGAGCCTCGCGGCTTGGCTCCCGAGGGCGGCACCAGCACCCAGCCTGGATGTGGGGTGGCAAAGGGACTTTGTTCCCCGAAAGTGAGCTCCCGCCCCCAGCTGGGCTGGCCCTGTGTCCACTGCAGCCGCTGCATTCAGAGGCCTCTTTCCCACGGTTTGGGTGTGGGGGACCAGATTCTTGGGCTCAGCAACGTCTGGTTCCCGTCCTCGCTGTCTCCTTCAGGGCTGCTGGAGGCTCCCGCGACGGGGAAGTGACACACGCAGAGCACAGAGCAGTGTGTTCCCTAGCCAGGCCTTTGGCAGAAGTCCACAGTTGGGGGTTCCAGCAGGGCATCTCTCCTCACAAGGCCCAACTTTCGTGTACCACAACCTCCTCTCCTCCCTGTGTCCTCCTCCTGTCTCCTAACCTAGGATGATCTCATGAGTCTTGTTTTTCCAAGTTTTTTCTCTTTTTGTTTTTTGAGATAGGGTCTTGCTATGTAGCCCAGGCTAGCTTCAAATTCATGGTGATCCTCCCGCCTCAGCCTCCCAAGTGCTGGGATTACAGGCCTGTGCCACCATGACAGGCTGATCTCATTTCTTTCTTCCTTTTTTTTTTTTTTTTTTTTTGGTACCAGGTATTGAACTCTGGACCTTGTGCTTGCAAGGCAGGTGCCAGAACCACTGAGCTAAATCCCCAGTGCCTGATCTCACGATTCTTGTCATGTCTACAAAGCCCTTTCTTCCAAACAGGCAAAGTGGTCTGCTCCAGGCGGATGGATGTACACTTGGGCACCACTCACCCCGTACCCACTTCTCAGGCTATAGCAGGCTCACGGTTTTGTAGTCTTTCCTCACCTAACACCCTGTCTCTGTGGTCTGATTGGCCCTCTTCCCCCAAGGCTCATATGTGGGGACTCAAGACCAGGGCGCAAGTCCTGAGAGGTGGCCTTGGGGATGACAAGCCAGGGAGCCCCCTTGCTCAGTGGGGTGAGTCCCCTGTGAAGGGGCTGCATGCTTCCAGCCTGGGGCAGGGCGTTTTTCCTCCCCAGACACCATGCTGGGCCTCTGGAATTCCAGGAATGCATTCTCTAGACAGCAAAGGCCACAGATGCCTCAAGGGCAGGCGGGGTCTGGGATCCACTGTACTGCACTAAACTGTCACCTTCCCACCAGGCCCAGCAAGTGGCATCCCGCCACACGTGTCCTCATCCTCTTGCGGGCGGGGGGGGGGGCAGG